AAAATCGCCTCCAACGGCCCTTGGTTACGGGGTTGGGTTAGCCCTGCGCTAGAACAAACAAAGCAAAGCTAACCCAACCCCGTAAGCAAGGCAAAGCTAAAGCCAATTTGGTTTACACTAATTGAATGTAAAGCTAAAGCCAATTTGGTTGAAGTCAATTGAATGCACACGCTGAAATTAGTGCAATTCTCAAAATGGCCACAAAGGGGCACGAGTCTTAAAGCGGGCAGGAAGGAGCACAGATGGCATCAGAAGGAAGCGTTGATTGGCCTGGAAGTAGAAGGGCCCTCAGGAAGGGTGCGGGTGGGTTGGATCGCTGGGCTGAGGCTGATGGGATGAACTGTAATGAGACCGAGTACCGCATCCCACACGTTGCCTGCGATGACCTTGGGCGGTGGTAGGAGCTTGTGGCAGAGTGAAAGGAAGATGATGGAAAGGGAACGGAGCGGGGATTCAGGTAGCGGCTCGACCGAACCGAGCTGGCGGTGAGTGTGGGAGGCCTGGAAAGCCGATGGCATTGCAGGGGGGAAGTCACCAACTGGAAGCGTCAAAGGCATCTTCACCTGTAATACAGAGAGACACGTTTTAGAAGGAGGAATGCCGAGACGCAAACGATGCTCACTGTAAGCCCACCCCCACAAAACGTGGAAGCCAAACACCGCTCCAAGAAATAGCAGAAGAGTAAGGTTAGGAGTATTTAACAGGGAAGCTGTGGGGTTTTTGTTAGTATTACACAGAAGGTTACAGATGGGTTGAGTGACCAATTGAAAGCACTATTGAAGGTTCAAGGTTAATTTGCACAGTTATCTATACAGTCGTGGCTGCAATTAACACTACATTTGGGGTTCAGGGCTCAGTTCAGAGCGTAGGGTTGGGGAGAAGGTATTAAGGTTAGGTTTATTAGGATTAGGCTCAGAGTGACCTCTAGGGAAGGCCAAGGCAAAGCTAAGAGCAAAAGGCAAGGAGAACAGCCGAGGGAAAGCCGAAACAGAGGGCAAAGGCATAGACGACACCCAAAGGGAAGGCAACGTCTAAGGCAAAGGGAATGCAAAGGCAGGGAGAGCACTGAAGAGAACGCCTCGTCAGAGGCCAGGCCCAAGGAGAAGGCCGCAGAGAACGCCAAAACAGAGACAAAAGAAAACAAATCAGAGAAGGGCAATGCAGAAGGCCAAGGGCAATGGCCAAAGAGAACGCGGCACAGAAAGACAAAACCGAAGGCCAAAGAGAACGCTGTAAGGGATGCCAAAACAAGAGGCCGAAGGGAAAACGGCAAAGAAGGCCGGGAGCAATGGCCGAAGAGAACATGGAAGGAAACACCAAAAATCGAAGCCAAAGAGATCACTGCAGGGAACGCCAGAACAAGGGGCCAAAGAGAATGCTGAGGGAGTGCAAAAAACAAGAGGCCAAAGACAATGTGGCAAAGAAGGCCAAGGGCAACGGCCAAAGAGAACGCAGCCACGAATGCCAGAACTGAAGGCCAAAGAAAGTGTAGGGAATGCCAGAACGGGAGGCAAAGGGAATGTATCAAAGAAGGCCAAGGACAAGGGGCAAGAGAACGCCGCACAGATGACCAAAACCGAAGGCTGAAGAGAATGCATCAAAGAAGGCCAAGGGCAATGGCCAAGAGAATGCTACGGGGAACGCCAAAACAGGAGGGCAAGAGAACACAGCAGGAAAAGCCAAGGGCAAGGAGAACACAGAAAGAAAAGGACAGGTAGCATTCAGGGCACCATAAAGTGCAATTAAGAGCTCTGGGAGCACCGTGCTGTGCCATGCTATGGAGTGGGTAAACACTGGTGGGTGTGCATTGCCCTTACCTGCTGGGCAGACAATTACCAGCCAGCAAAGTGGGGTTCCGTGGCATTCCAGGAAATGCAGATTCCGGTTCCTTGCTGCTGCCGTGAATAGCCACGCATCTCCATGCTGTCCTTAAAGCTCTCAGGAGCGCTGCAGCTCTGCAGCCACCTGTTGGAACAACGCAGTAATGAAGGCACTGCCCCGCATATGTAGGGCTGCACCCTGAGCACATTGCTGTAATGATGACGCAAGGGTTATAATTAGTTATAATTAACGTTAAGGGTATGATTAATGCTATTGATAGGTTTGAAGTTACAGTTAGTCTAACATCAGTATTCTGTACTACAATTACAATTAAGGTTACTTTGACAGAAAACATGAGGCATTATTTTTATGGCAGCACTTAGAGTAAGAGACATTTTTAATACTGGGTTAAGGGTTTGGTTCACAGGTACACTGCAGGTTAACATAATTATTGTTAGAACTCCCATTCAGCTATGGGTTCAGGTCAAGGTTAACATTAACGCTGCCTCCCAGCTGATCCCAAAGTGCCAAAGGCAAGCGGAACTCCCAGGGCAGGCAAAGGGAAGCAGAACTCCCAGGGAAAGCCAAGGTAAATGCAAAGCAAACAGCTAAGCTAAGGCAAGGGCAAAAGCAAAGAGAGCACCCAATGGAAAGCCAAGGTGAGGGCAAGGAGAACGCAACTGGAAAGGCCAAGATATACAGCCAAAGAGAACACAGCAGGAAAGGCCAAGGGCAAAGGCCAAGAGAACGCAGCACAAAATGCCAAAACAAAAGGCCGAGGGAACACGGCATGGAATGCCCAGGCAAGGGCTAAGAAAACATGGCAGGAAGTGCCAAAATAGGAGGCCAAACAGAACGCGTCAAAGAAGGCCAATGCAGAATGCAGCTGGAACGCCAAGACAGGAGGTCAAAGAGAACGCCGCGACAGGAGGTCAAAGAGAACGCCGCAGGGAATGCCCAGGCAAGGGCCAAGACAACGTGGCAGGAAATGCCAAAACAGGAGGGCGACAGAACGCTGCCGGGAACGCCAAAATCAAATGCTGAAGAGAATGTGGCTACAGAAAGCCAAAGGTGATGGCCAAGAGAATGTGGCACAGGACACAATAACAGGAGGGCAAGGGAATGCCCAGACAAGGCCAAGGGCCAAGAGAACATGGAAGGAAATGCCAAGGATGATGGCCAAGAGAACATGGCAAGAAACGCCAAAACAGGAGGGCAAGAGAACGCAGCAGGGAACGCCAAAACTGAATGCCGAAGTGAATATGGCAAAGAAAGCCAAGGGCAATGGCCAAATGAACGTGGCATGGAACACAAAAACAGGAGGGCAAGAGAATGCAGTAGGGAACACCAGTGGCAAAGGGAAGGAAAACACTGCAGTGAAAGGCCAGAGACAAGGAGAACACAGAAAGAAAAGGACAGGCAGCCTTCCAGGCACCATAAAGCGCAATTAAGAGCTCTGGGAGCACCGTGCTGTGCCATGCTATGGAGTGGGTAAACACTGGTGGGAGCTCATTGCCCTTACCTGCTGGGCAGACAATTACCAGCCAGCAAAGCGAGGTTCCGGGGCATTCCAGGAAATGCAGATTCCGGTTCCTGGCTGTTCCCATGAAGGCCCACACCTCTCCATGCAGTTGTTACAGCACTCGGGAGCACCGCAGCTCCGCTGCCACCTGTGGGACACAACGCAGTAATGAAGGCACTGCAGATGTAGGGCAGTGTTCCTTTCAGATGTGCGCTGCAGTGCTCCTTTCTCAGAGCAACGTGGCTGCACTCTGTGCACAATGCTGCTTACCAGCAGCACTGAGCTGAGAACAACAGACAAGGAGAAGGCTCAGGTACCCAACAGTATTTTTGCTTCCATCTTCTCTGATGACTGCTCACTATATACTGCCCTCACCTTTGGTTTGGTAGGTGGGGATTGTGGAAGCAATGCCACCCCCCCCACCCCCCAATCCCACACTGTGATGGGAGATCAGGTCCTGGACCACCTGAGGACCTGAACATCCAGGAGTCTTTGGGTCCTGACGAGACGAGTCCCAGAGTTCCGAGGGAATTCAGTGCTGCAGTTACAGAGCCACTCTCAATGGTATTTGAGAAGTCGAGGCAGTCAGGTGAAGTCCCTGGTGAGCAGAAAAAAGGCGACAGCACAGCTGTTATTACAGATAGAAAGGATGACCCTGGGAACTGCCAACATGTCAGTCTCACCTCTGTACTGGGAAAAATCATTGAGCAGATCCTCCTGAAAGTGAGGGTAAAGCACACATTCCAGTGCGTCACCACCCTCTGTGTGAAAAGCTTCCTCCTAATAACCAACCTAAACCTCCCGTCTCAGTTTAAAACCATTTCTCCTTGTCCTATCACTATCCATCCTCATAAACAGCCATTTCCCCCCCCCCCACTTACACACTCCCTTCAAGTATTGGAAAGCTGTGATGAGGTCTCTCCAGAGCTTTCTCTTCTCCAAGAGAAACAATCCCAGTTCCCTCAACCTTTCTTCGTAGGAGAGCTGCTCCAGCCCTCTGATCATCTTAGTGGCCCTCCTCTGGACCCCAAAAGCTCCACATCCTTCCTGTGCTGGGGGCCCCAGGCCTGGACGCAGTGCTGCAGATGGGGCCTCACAAGAACCGAGTAGATGGGGACGATCACCTCCATGCCTCTTCTGGCCGCTCCTCTTTTAATGCAGCCCAGAACACAGCTGGCCTTCCAGGCTGCAAGCGCACTCTGCTGGCTGATGTCCAGCTTCTCATCCACTGGGATCTGCAAATCCTTCTCTGTGGGGCTGCTCTCAAGGTGTTCTTTGCTGAGTTTGTACAAACATCTGGGATTGCCCCTTCATCAGTGACATTGACAGTGGGGTCGAGTGCACCATAATGACACCAAGCTGTGGGGTGCAGTGACACACCAGAGGGACAACGCCATCCAGAGGGACCTCAACAGGCTGAGTAGTGGCACTCAGCAATGTGCCTTCCCGGCCCAGAAAGCCAACTGTGTGCTGGGCTCCATCCAAAGATGCGCGGTCAGTAGGCGAAGGGAGGTGGTCCTGCCCCTCTGCTCTGCGCTGTGAGACCTCACCTGGAGGTGCTGCGTCTGGATGTGGACGCCTGCAGTGCAGGACAGACATGGAGCTGTTGGAGCACGTCCAGAGAACGGCCACAAAGATGAACCGAGGGATGGAATGCCTTTCCTGTAAAGAGAGAGAGCTGGAGCTGTTCAGCCTGGAGAAGTGAAGGCTCCGAGGTGATCTGGTAACAGCCTTTCAATACCTAAAGGGAAGAACAAGAAAAGATTCAGCTTAGATATAAAGAAAATCTTGTACAGTGAGGGTGGTGACACAGTCGAACAGGTTACCCAGACATGTGATGGATGCCCTGTCCCTTCCAAGGTGAGGCTGGGTCAGGCTCTGGGCAGCCTGATCTGGCTGTGGATGTTCCTGTTCATTGTGTGGCAGTTGGATGAGATCACCGGCAATGGTACCAGGTGCTCCAGCTGAGATAACCCGCATCTGTCACAAAGCCTCTCTGGGCCGGTCCCAGTATTCAGCAGACCAGGGTCTTCATCACGCTGTTGGGAACCAGAGCTGCAGAGCTACTGAACGTGGGTCAGGGATTGGGAGGAAGAGGAACTGGGGTTTGCGAGTCATACAGATTAGGAAACTAACAACATCTCCAGACAATTAGGATGGAGATATCTGGGGTGATGCTGAGTACAGCAGTTCAGAAGAGGACAATCCTTGGCTTTCTATAAAGATAAAGCCAGATCTGCTGTTCAAACAGAAAGGACTGTAGGACCCCAAGGTGGTCAGTCACAAGGTGCTCTGAGAACAATGCCTTGGGATCCATTACCATTGATGAATTTGTAAGGGAGATACAGGAGAGAACCAGACAAAATAGGAACAAATACCTGTTATCACTATGCTCGAGTGGTGCAGACTGTATTATGCTCAATGAGGATGAAGCAAGTGGCCACTGCAGTCTGGGATTGTTCTTCAGGTTCTGGTTGATGCACCTCACTCTACCACCAGCCGTGTAGTGCATTGGGCTGGGAGAATAGACCCCATGGAGCGACCCATTCAATCCCTAAGTGAGCTTCCCACGGTCATCAGAAACCTGCCAGCATACAAGCTAGTGCACAAACATGGGGCTCACGATGTTCTGTTATCTGCTCAGACCTCACAGTCCTTGCACCACTGATTAGACAAG